TTTTTCTCCTAGGAATCTGTCGCAGTATGTCCTACGCCCAGCTCTTTTCTGCTTTGTGTCTGACAGTCTCTGCCCTGTGGTGTGGTTCAGGCCTGGTGTACATCCTGGTGGGGCAGGGGGTGCTGCAGCCCACAGAGATGAAATCTGCTTTGGTCCCTGGTCTGGCAGCATTTACCTTAGCCCTGCTCATCATAGGTAGTGCTACAATCATAGCAAAGAAAGTGGTTCTGGTTCTCATAGCTGTTGGCATTAGCTTAGCATGTGCCCATCAAATTGCCAGTCTGTCAGCTGCAGGTTTTGGTCCGTCTGCCACAGCTGCTAACTACCTCATCGTTTGTCTGGTAGGTGTTTACTTTGGTTGTGGCCGTCTGCTGTCCACTCTCACTCATGGTAAAGTGGAACCTCCAGGCACAGGCCTGAAGAGAAAAGCTGAACTGACAACACAGCAGAACCAGGGGTGTAGCGATGCGGTGTCAGTGGGTTTGGTGATGAACTTGCTGTCTGCCTCTGTGTTAGCTTGTCCTCTGTTAGGTGTGGTCCCCCAGCTCTCCACCGGTCATGTCCCCTGGCTTTGGACAGCTGGTGTCTTCCAGCTTGGCATGTGTGTCATCTTTTACCGAGCCATAGACACACTAGCTGCCACTTTTTATGGCTTCACTGCTCTGCTGAAATTTGCAGAGGGCTACAGTGTTCTACTGTCCTTTTACTCAGTTCAGCCTTTCTCTCCAGTTCCCTTCCCTGTTGTCTTCGCTGTCCTTTTCTTCATCCTGGCTCTGTTCAGTTGTCAGAAGAACCTTCTGGAGGGGCTCTACCAATTATTCTTTGCAGCTTATTGTATTGCCATTGCAGCCCAGCCTCAAGGCTTCTTCCAAAGAGGAACTCAGGGTGTACAGGCAGCTATATTCGTAGTTTCTGCCATCATGCTTTTAATTACCACATTCAATATGGTGTCCACCACCATGATCCCCACAGGACAGGGCTGTTTCAAGGCTTTAGTTGCCAGGATGCAGGGTCTTACACTCAGAGCACATGATAAGGAGCTACACACACCTCACCTGGGTTATTCTAAATATGCAGATGCGGAGGTGTTAGGCCATGCCTGCAGTGTGTTGGCTGCTTTTGCCATTACAGCCACAGTTGGTGACAGAAATCCTCTGCTTGTGCTGATTCTGCCTTGGGTGGTGGTGGCAGGAGGGGCTCTCCAGCTGCTCTGTGGTTCAGTAGCTTTTGCTCGGGGTAAAACCTTTGAGAGCACAGTTTTTATTCTGTATGGAATGATGTGGACAGTGTGGGGGTTGACACGATACGGCGGCCTGTATGGTGAAACCAGAGGCTTTAATGTGGCTGTTGGGATTATTAGCTTCATGCTGTTTAACTGTTTAGTGACAGCTGCAGCACTGTTTCTAAATGTCGCCTGGTTTGCCTACGCCCTCACCTTCCAGCTCATCCTCATTAGCTTCCTGCTGGATGCAGTGGGCGCCCTGCCTTATGGTTATGATATAGGCGTCACCATCATCTTTGGCCTGGTCAGTTTTTATTGTTTCCTAGCTCACATTTTCAACAGCACCTTCCAGTCCCCCCAGATCCCCTTAGGGAAACCTTTGGTCAAGTTGAGTGGGGTTGGGGGAGGCGCAGGTGTCTGTCCACATGTACCAGCTCGCAAGGCCACATCTGTCCGACAGATAGCA